TGTTAAGATAATGATGTCCTATATTTATCATCGTCAGAGCCAACAATGTGGCGTTCAATGGTTTATGTTAACTCGGCAGTTCTGCGTTCATTGGCATTACAGCCAATGATGCTAGGATCATAGACAATATAAGTAAACGTGTTTCGTTCATTGCTTTAATAGAATAAATTGATACGTGTATCATCCTTATAGTCATTGCAATGCTTTGTTCGAAGATGGTGTTCAGCAGTGCTACGTTTGTTGATTATTTCGGAATAGAATCATTTGCTACATTCGTATTTGTAACAGCTGTCAGTGCTATTTTCCTCAACCTTTAAACTCAAATCTTTCTGTGCACTTGGAAGCTGAACGGTTAATGCAAAGCTTCATTTCTATACACATCTTTGTAAAATCTCTCCAATCATATCTGGAAAATCAATAATTTTCGCTGGGATTTATTTCTTTAATTTCTTTTGATCTTTTAATTGCTTTACGAAGTTATATCTCCATAACTGTTTACAGAACTATATTTATCCTCGAAATTAAGTGTCCGCGAAAAAGTATTTAAAAAAAACAACATGAAAATTCAACTCTGCAAAATATGTAATACAGTATACAGTAATGAGTTTCCTTTACATTAGTACCAGTGTCTCTGGCGACAAATATTCACACAAAGGCTTTAAATGATTTTCTACACGGTGAAGTATTATAGTTTGGTGAGGAATATAAAGACCATCAGAGTTGCTCGTTGTGTTGGAAACAAACACGCCCCTATCCCACCTCTCTATTCCTATGTAGTACCTTCTCTCACCTTTTGATTTGAGAACAGAATATGGGCCTCCTCGTTTCCTGCTTTTTCATTGTGAACATGTGTGCTGCTATGTTTGAAATATCATCGATCAGTGCTTGCTTCGTGCACTTCAAATGCCCATCGTTAGGACAGGTACTGTAATATTGTTTTTTTAACACTTTATTTCTGTGAGAGCGATGATCATCAGAATACTTTTTATCAAACATCTGAATAAGCAGTGTTCAAACTGTGTAGCATTTATCATTCAAACAACGAAATACGAGTTAATGCAGTCTAAACACAAGGAAGAGGAGGAGGAGGAGGAGAGGAGAGAGGACGACGACGAGGAGGAGGACGACGAGGAGGAGGACGAAGATTACGACGACGAAAAGACAAGGAGGAGACGAGGAAGAGAACGATGACGATTAGGACTAGGAAAAGGACTGCTTCTGCTACTACGACAACGACGATGAGGAGGAGCAGAAGGCGGACGAGAAAACTGCGCTATCGTTTGGATGATCAGCTATTAGCAAACAGAACAAGAAAAAACGAACCGAAAGCAGAACCATTATAAATCATTTTTACGAAATAACGAGCTAGGAAAGATTCTGTATAATAGGGTAATACATTGAAAATATGTTACTACTCAATTTGCGAGTAGTAAATAGCTCGTGTCAGAAGTATATGATGTATGCTGTTATAAGTAGGGTCCATGGCCGCAGCCTGCGCCAGCGTGTCATGTTCGGAACGCACATTACAAAGGAATGAACATAATTTTCAAGCCCTTCTATAACCTAGATCAACACCTTATATTCAGCTCCCTTAACATCTCTGGCTCGTTAGATAGGACTTAATTATTCGCACATGCTTAAAATTTACAGGCGGAACTGTAGTTGTAACCTTACCTACATTTTTGTAGAGTTAAGATGAAAGGCCGATCGCGTTAGCGCCAACTGTATCAGACCCGATTTCAAAAAAAGTTTGAAAGGCATTCGGATCTTTATGTTGATTTGATTAAAGTTCAACCTGTCAAACGTTTATAGATTTAAAAGCAGGTCTTAGAACACAAAAGGTAAAATCGTTTTCATGTGTCGCTGCTCTGGTTGTTGAGTATATTGATCATCTTAGTTTATATACTATGTAACTTCCATCAGTGTCCGATGTCTTTTGTAAAATAAAGCCATGTGTTATGTTTGATTATTATGTTGTCATACAATATTACATAATAATAATAATACACAAAATCTTTTCATAATGCAACAGCATTAATGAAACAGCGATATAATGTAACTGATATATACAATCAAAACTCAAATTATTTATTTTATAACCAATAAAACAATTTTTATATACTGCACTGCAATATGAACCATTATTGTATTATATAAAATAAAATATTTACTGTAACATTATCAATTTCAGTGTATGTTTTATTTTCACCGATTTCGTGAGTGTTTTTATCCACAAACTGATGTCAACAAGATTGACAACAATTTTAGTACAAGTGTACATGCAGGATATGATTTATCAACATCAATTGTCCACCAATAGGATTTTTTCAATTGAAAAATTTAGCCTCACTTAACTCTTTCATTTTACATAGTAGTTCTTATATCACAATCAGTAGAATATTTGAGTATGACGTTTCGATGACTATATGGCCACCTTCATCAGGCAAATGTCGCTTTACCGATAGGTTAGTGAAAATTGGCGTTGTTCGTTCCAATTACGACCATAAAACTCCCCCAAAAGTTCTTGCATAGCAAATAACTGCGATATGTGAGTATCGGGCAAGCAGGTATGTTACCATCAAGAAATCGGATATTTGAAATAACGGAAATAAAAAGCATTGTGTTCCCCGCTGATATGTTTCAAATAAAGACCGCGACAAGGGTGTTATGTAGAAAGATATGCAGTATACACGCTAAACTGCCATTGATTTTCTTTTCATTTTAAGAAACATACTATTCATCATATCGAAGAATTAGTTCATGTCTTAGAACTTGTGCAATGAAATTCGTTTATATAACCAAACTCACAAAAATGTAATTGTTTAATTTTAATACAAGAATGCATACTTTGTATCTTGCAAATTTTTTATTGAAACTTAATTATTTTTAATCGTTTTTGGGTCAAACACAGAATTTTTCTATTTTTCCTTTTTTTCTTTTTCACTTAAATATATATATTATACATATACCAGCAAAACCAAAGCAACGTTGTAATCCTCAATGTTTTTTAATTACTGTTTAAATTGGGGTTTTTTTTCTTACATTTTTGTTTATAGGTATCACAAATTTAAACATTGTCTTCGAACAGGAATTTATTCGAGATTTGATATAACAATGATAAAACACCTATTCTTGCTAAAAGATGTACTTCAACAGTCTATTCCCTAAATGTAAGCCATTTCTGTTACGTGTTCTCAGTCGATAAACGAACATGGGTCTGTGTAGTGTTATCTTATTGAACCGTCGTGTCTCGTTTAGCAAGACAGCCCGATCTCTGCGACCGTATCAAATGACTTCTCGTACCAGTGGTGTAGGCCTTTTATAGTACATCTATGAAACCAATGTTTACTGCTGAAAATGATAAGTGTTGACAAAGTACTTCTAGATATTACATCTACGGCTGCTTGTAGACTAAGATGTGCGCCTATTAGACTTAAGGGCGTATGTTTTGTAAGAACACCCCCCCCCCCTCCCCCCCGACTAATGTTTGACCTAAATTGTAAATTCTGATATCAAATCTACGTGTGCAGTCCTAAAAAGAGGGTATGTCTAGGCTTACTTCGACCAATTTGGATCTTCCTTCATGGTCTCCTAGATTTCAACAATCTAGGTCCTTAGCATCACTAACAAGCTTACCGATAACTAAACAGCTCGATGGTGAAGTTTAATTCATTATCTTATTTTAATTCTGTTTTAAAAAGTACTATTCATTTGTGTGTTTTTATCATCTTTCAAATTATATCTAAACGCAAAAAAGCTTTTTAACTTACCGAGTCTAATTGCATAAGTTCATAAAACAAAGTTTTTTAAAATATTTTCCAATCGTTTTCGCTGTTTGTTTACCTTGAATTTTAAACTACTAATTAAACAGTATGTGCTTCTTTCCGTTAATAAATACTATCTCTTATCATGATATTACGTGATATTTTTTATCCGTGTAGAAATTTGTTAAGTTAATAATGACTTTGAATGTGTTAACAATGTGTTCCTCCTACGAAAAGGAGACACCGCTTCAAAATAATCGTGTTTTCCCCGGAGCGACATGTCTAGCAAACAAACTAACACACAGGACAGCAATGCTAAATTGTGCTTATTACGACTGCAACGAAAGTGTAATCGCATACAGATTTACAGAAAGATGTTTGGGGAAAGATATAAACGATGTCAAGGATACAAAGCTGAATCCCCCGTATAATTGAGGAATTCTATATCGAGACAATAGATAACATTCCATAGTAAATGAAGCAATAAAATTACTGACTTCCGGTGAGGTGAATCCGTTAAGTTATGAAGCATGAAAAAGATATATAAACCGACATGATAGCCTAATAGTTGCGACGAAGCGATCAGAAATACATATTATCATGAAGGAAATAGCTAAAACTCTTCTCTTAAACACAGTTCACAAATAGCTATAAACATACATACATAATTATATAAATGCTGACTCTCTTTTGCTTTAAAAATGATCAAGTAAATTTGAAATATATAAGATACACTATTATTTCGGTAGATATAATCAATGTTTTACCGGGATTACTATATATGACTTATCTATATAAGTAAATAAGGATCTAACACTAAACTGATACAGACAGCTAAATAGATTTGAAGTTTGCAGACAGATTCATCATTACATTAGGGATGACTTTCTTTCAAATAGCCATCACATGCCGTTCTGTACTGTAATAATTTATTTACTCAGAAAGTCGTAAAGGGGAAAATGACGCTGGCACCTCACGACGGCCATTTTCAGTAATAGATACACACAAAATTGCTGGTTTCATAATAGTTACACACAAAATTGCTGTTTTCTATGGTCGAAGTGGGACGGCAAAAACTGGCGCGTTCAACTTAAAGGAAATGTGGTAGGGCGATTAGTGTCCATTTTGATTGATTATATGGTAGATAATGGTATTGTCTCGTTTATATATAGCAACAGAACATTTAGACCTGCTAATAAAAATAACGAGAACGGACACAAGAAGTGCTGAACTCACCTTTCGTTTCGATTTGATTTGTTGCTCGTCTCTGATAACATCAGCGTTGCCAGGTGACCTGCGCTGCCATAAAATACATCCGACAATAGAATAGGTAACTGTAAGGATTATGAGGGGAATGATATAGGTAAGAAAGAGCATACAAAAAGAATATGCTCTTTTACTTTCTTGATCTTCCCAAACTTCAGCACATTTCACAATCGTTTCATTTGACGTGGAAATTGACTTAATCTTTTCTCTTGCTCTCCCCACCATAAATTGCACGCTATTTATTCCTACGGCAATAATCCAAATAAGAAGAATGATAAGGCGGTATCTTGATGACGTAATCCGAGATTTTAAAGGATAAGCCACAGCATAGAATCGGTCAATTCCAACAGCCATGTTAGTAGATGCGCTGGCTGTGACGGAAACAGTCTGTAAAAACAATACTATGGGACACATCGGTTTAGAAAATATCCATTTACTCAATAATTGATCTGTGAATGTAAACGGGATACAAAAAATTGCCATAATCAGATCTGCTACGGCAAGATTGATTAAAAATGGACGCAATTCCGATTTTGAACGTTTTCCTTTCGCAAAGATTATGATAGCGGCAATATTTCCAAATATAGATGTCAGGGTTGTCATGGTATAGAGTAATATAAAAACACGCGACGTTCCTGAAGTTGATCTATCTTCTTCTATGAAACTCATACTGTCATTTTTCAACGAATTTGTAAAATAATACTGCTGATTGGCGTCCAGATGTACTGTAGTTACACCCGTGTCCGAAATATTCTCCAAACTGGACATGGCAAATATTATTTTCGTTATTACATTAGAATACTCATCACTCCTACAACACCACTACGTTTATATATCTCAGTCGCATTAGTAGCATCACTTCTACTACGGATAGTCGACAACGTTTCCAAGTATTCCTAGTTGGTATGTTGAAGTATCTCTAGAGAGAATTATCGAGCAAGCCAATCAGAACGACGCTCTCATACGCGCCTCGGTTTGTTGCAGTGCGATCATGAGCCAAATGGACTGCAGTTGTAGTGTCCGCTTTAAACACTGGGAGGCTGCATAACCATCATTCATTAGTTGTGTGCGATTACCCTGTGTAGGTACCGTGAGGCACTGCCTCTAATCATAGGGAGTGTAATTAGAATACAATAACTCCGCAGTTATGTCATGTTGTTTTCGCTGTTGGCGTTGTGTACATCCACGAATAACTGCGCGTGTGTTTCACAGCACACTGACCAAAATACAATACATAGGTATGCTCATAAGTTGTTTGTTTTCAATAAGTACAATTCTTAACTTTTATGTTATTCGAAGAAACTTATGAAGCAGAAATGTGAATATTGTTAAAATTGTAATCGTTTGACTGTGTTGATGAGGAACTGATATCAGTATATTTACGTACATGTTTTATCACAGTACTGACAGTCAACATAATACATCTGTACTTTGTCATACCAAGTATTAAAGACGAAACACGAAAATCAGAGTGCTAAGTAGTATTGTGTATCAAATAAATGTGTTTACACTTTACAAGCTGATGAAACCACACTTGTCTAGCTATAGTTTGAAATCTAAATCTTTTTGAAACTTCAGTTGTTTTAATCTTTAAAATCATGATTCGAGGTGCGTGACTGTTTCGATGATGCCTACTCGTGGCGGTTTGATTTTACTAGCAAGACTGAGTCCTTGAACGATGCATTTCACTCCGACAGAAACAACCAAAGATAGCACGTGACGGGCCTCCCACATGCTGTTCATCGAGGCATCAATAAAATTACTTAAGGGAAACCCGACTACGACATACTGGATAGAATACAATGAAACGGCTTGCTTAAGCAATCGGAACTGGACTTGTGACATAGGTCTACCAGACAAATGTTTCTAGATGAAGAGGCAGACGACATAAGAGTATTGACTCAGGGTTTACACAAAATATATCCTCTTCGAAAACAGCTTCACAATTCAAATGGTTTTAATTATCTTTAAATAATGTATTTTTTATTTTAATAGTGAAAGATAATTTTCGTGAAATAGAGATCCACAATATACCATGGTCTATTTCAAGTACACAAGAAATGATGATTCATTTGATTTGTAACAGTAAGAACTGATGACATATTTAATAAAAATGATTGAATGACTCGCTGACTTTTTAAATTATTTTTCTTGACCAAATTGGCCCACCACTTCCTAACCTGAAAAGCAAAGTAAGTCGCGCCCATTATATCTGAAACTGTCTTACTATATTTTTTAATAACTTCATTTAAGATAATATTGTATGTAGTTAATGACATCTAAATAATTGTTCTGTGTTTTTTTGTGTTTTACCAATTTCGCAAATTGAGTTTTACATCCATGTATGCAGAACCAATATGGCCTCACGGATATATATTTTATTTCGATAAAACGACCCCCCTACCTTTTTTATTTGTCATTTCGGTTGTCTAGCTTCTGTCTTTGCCTGATGGATCGTTCACATACATCTTTCAAAAATATTGCTAAGTCCCTTTAAGATGTTGTGATTTATATTGACGTTGTAACGAAGTTTCTCTAAAACATTTATCAAGATATCTATTGGTACTACAATGCTCTTTTTTTTCTGAAAACTTAATCAAGGTGTAATTTCGTGTGTTTTTAACCCGCTTGGGTTGATATTAACTTTGCCGTAACGGTTCTTCAAGCTTTCACTTACATCAAACAAATGAAGCTTTGTTAAGTGGTAACACAAAAATGCCGGGGCAGACCGTAAGTATATTCCATTGTGCCAGCTACTCGAGACGATTGAGTTAAGAATTTCACATCACTTTGATGTACGGACCCGCAAAAAGTGCAAAGAAAAAAACCTATTTTTGCAGCAGTAATTTCCTCTAGCTTCATGTCTTGACAGGATAAGTATGGTTATCACCCTCACTTGCTAACTTTAGCATTTGTACATGTAGTTTAAACATATTTAACTTTCTCTGTTCATTTGATGTATTATGAATAGACGATTTATTGTAACCAAATCCTATCACTTGTTATACATATATATGTTTATATATTAATTACATATAAATTTCAATAAAAATCTGTTTTATAATAAGGATTACCAACAGGAACACTCTTGGTTATCGAGGTGAACAGCTTTTGTAGGAATGAAATCTCTATTATTATCAAAGAATTATTGATGTATCACTAACATACTGTCTAACATTTAACATTACATGAGTAATAACATTTCGGAGAATTTTATAGTAACCGTTCTGTTACTCGGTATTATTTAATTTTAGTGATATCAAACTTTAAAAGTGTCATATGGGGAAAAACCAAAGAAACGTAAATTGTCAGTGACACCTCATCAGATCCGTGACCGGCAAAGTAACAATATGTACTCTGCACCTGGGACAGGTACACAGCCACCTGGACAGCCTATCGCCGCGCACGTGCCCGCTAGTGCTACATAAGCGAGCGCATACGGTGATATGTACGGAACCCCACCTTCGCCCGTTCCTCCCTTTCCACCTCCTCCAACTAATGTACAGGGATCGTCGGTACCATGTTACTACACATCACTGTCATCTCCCCAAATTGACCACTCGAAGTACTTGCCTCCCTCGGCTATGCCAACATCTATGGAATCTGTCCAAAATGATATTTACCGCAAACTAGGTAAACTTGACATACTAGATACAATCGTCAACAGATCGACCACCATTGAACACACATTTGATAAAATGAGCTATCTGAAGTTAAAAAAGAACTTGGTATACATAGTGAGAACATACATGGGGCTGAACTTGACCAAACTATCCTGGAAGAACGTATAGAGATGATAATTTATCTCATGTGATTGATTTGAGAAACAATGATGAATTGAATAAATATCTGTATGATTTTGTTAAACTGAGGCAATTAAATGTGTCTCTTGATCGACACAGTGAAGATAATGTTCGATCAAAGTATTTTGGCAACAGGCTATTAAATTTTTGTAAAAATAATAACATATATATTGCAAATCGCAGAATTGGGAAGGATAAATTCATAGGTAAATGTACATGTAAATCTGTAAGTCTTATTGATTATTTGGTATTACAAGCTGATGTTTTTTCTTGTGTAAACAATTTTCAAGTGATGGATTTTCATCCACTTTATTCAGATGCCCATTGTCGAATTAGTTTCGAAATCATTTTTGCTTATAATACTGCTACTTCAGTTTTGCATAAAGATACTGAAAACATTGTACTGTGGAATAGTGACCAGAAAAATGTATTTGTTGATGATATAAGAAATGATAAGCTAAACTTAATACATAAAAGTGAATGATAAATTAAACAGACGGGTTGAATCTCCCATAGCGTTAATTAGTAGAGACGATATAAACAACATGGTTGATAATATATCTTGTGTATTTGCGAAGTCTGCAAAAGATGTATTTGGTGTCACGAGACGCAAATTTCCTAGGAAACATCCTTATTATAATATTACTAGTAAACCATGGTTCACACCAAAATGTGCAGGTAAAAGACGGGCATATCACAGTGCTAAGAAAACTTGTAAAAGTATCAAGACCCCTCGAAATGGTAAACATCTAAAAAGGTGAGTAAGGATTATAGAAAATAATTAAATAAATCTTACCGAGAATACCAAGCAAATAATGAATCCCAGTTAAGAAGATTGTCTAAATATAATAGCAAAGAAATAAGAAAAAAAAATAATAATAGCAAAGAATTTTGGAATATAATTAACTGTCTAGATGGTAAAAGCAATTCTAATGTTGATTTTGAAATTAATGAATTATACAGCTATTATAAACAAATTAATTCTGATGATGCAAGAGGAGGTTAAGACTTTGTCATATCCGAGTTTAACAATGATATCTATGGTGACATACTTAATGGTAATATAAGTGTCAGTGAAATTGAAAGTGTTATTCATAAACTCCCCAATAATAAAGCATGTGGAATAGATGGAATAGTGAATGAATACATTAAAAACACAGCAGACGTCTTTATACAATTTTATGTAAAATTATTTAATATTGTATTAGATACTAGTATCATACCAGATGCTTGGATCACAGGAATTATAAAACAAATTTATAAAAAAATAAAGGCGATCCCAAGAACTTGGACAATTATCGAGCGATTACCCTGGTATCTTGTCTTGGTAAGGTTTTCATATCCATATCAAATAATAGGCTGAGCCTATTGGCAGATGAAATTAAACTCATAACAGGTTTTAGGAAGGGTTATTCCACTTCGGATCATGTGTTTCTTTCAACTAGTAAAAAATTGTACTGCGCCTTTGTAGATGTCAGAAAGGCATTCGATTCGGTTTGGAGAACTGGTCTTTGGTCAAAAGTTTTAAAGAATAATATAACTGGTAAGATATTTAAAGTAATTTATGATGTTTACCAAAACACGAAATCATGTGTTAAAAATGGAAATGAGTTATCCGACATGTTTGTTTCTAGTGTTGGTTTAAAACAGGGCGAAAATTTGTCACCATTTTTATTTTCGCTGTACTTAAATGATCTTGAATTATTTCGTTATGAAAAACAATGTAAATCGACTTCACCATCTTGATAGCCTTAGCCTTGAGCACATCAGTATTTATCTAAAACTATTTATTATACTATATGCTGATGACACTGTCACCCTTTCAGAATCTCCTGAAGGACTACAATTTGCCTTAAACAGTTTTGAAAGATATTGTAATCAATGGAAGTTAAAAGTCATTACCTATAATACAAAGATTACAATATTTTCCAAACGGAAACATAAGGAAAATGTTACATTTAGTCC